TGGTGTGTGTGTGTGTGTGTGTGTGTGTGTGTGTGTGTGTGTGTGTGTGTATGTGTGTGTGTGTATGAGTGTGAGTGTGTGTGTGTGTGTGTGTGTGTGTGTGTGTGTGTGTGTGTGACTGAATTTATAAACTAGGCACAGTAAAGAATTTAAAAGATGTAATGATAAAATAGGAGGAAATACTTATATATTGTAATAAACATTACAGTCCTTTTGGTCTGGGGACGCAGCATTGGGCATCTTGTGTGCCCCTTTCTATTTGCTCCCATTGTGGGTAGGTTTTTATACCAGTCTCATGACAGGAAAAGGTTGATGGCCCCTGACAGCACCAATGGCTCTATTGTGTCTCCCATGTCAAGGGCATGGTGCTCCATCTGATATATTTCATTTGAATCCCTTTTGGGGAGTTCCTGAAGTCAGTCACGTGATCTGCCAACAGGCTTCGGTGGGCCTTTGAGAAGGCCAACATAAGAAATAGAGACAAAGCAACTGCCAGCAGTGAGAGCCTAAAAGAAGAGAAGATGGCAGAAAAGAGGGCTGGGCCCCACACCCCTATGAGATTCACTGCAGAGAGCCCGAGATCTCCCAGAAGGTTCCATAGCTTAACATGTGCTCCCTCCTCCCTCTTAGTCCGCTCACCCTCAACCGGGTTGGCCTCAAACTCATCCACCTGCCTCGGCCTCCAGGAGTGTGAGTGCTGGGATTAAAGGAGTGCACCACCCTGCCTGGCAATTAATAGCAACCTCCTAAGAGCATCACACTGCTATCATAGGACTAATCTTTAAACATGTGACAGACCCTCACCCAGATCTTAGTAAAGTCTGTCCACTGCTGGGAACTCATTTTGGTTCTGCCGTCTTGGCATGCTTGAAGCAAACTGTAAGGCAAAATGTCTTCGAAGCCTTAGCCCCTAGCTACACTAGTTCTGCTTTTGAGTCATTCGGTATAGCAGTTGATTAGGAGCTGAGCAGCTGCATGTTTGCCTTTTTACCCAGGTTTCTTAGCAACAGGTAGCTTCCTGCAATAGTAATGTGCTTTAAATGGGGACATTTTCTGGTCCTCCTAAAGGGAGATGTTTTAGACAAAGATTCTGGATGTGGTTCTTTAATGTATGGGTGGGGCTGTATGTTACCTGCTTTGAGGCTCTCCAGATCTACCTGTACACACCCTCCTTCACAGTCCTGTGTCCACTAGGCCAAGACACAGCAGTGTTTGCTGCACCTGCCAGTCTCACCGCTGATAACAGCGGGACTGCCGTGCTTCAGGGCCCAGAGTTCAGAGGCAGGAGTCTGAGAACAACAAAGGCAGGCATGCCACCAACCTGTCCCCAAGATCCCAAATGACTAGTCAGTACCAGTCCTTCTGTGTTTCTCTTTCTTGTAGACTGTCACTCACTCGATTCCCAAGAGCCATTCTTAGATACCCAACCTTGATTTTCTCCGTATTATGTTCCCCTGCAACTGTCCCCCCCACCCCCAGCTCCCCAGCGTGTCTCTTCTAAGTTCCTGCCACATATTTGGACTTACCCTTTCTTCCATGCCTAAATTTTAATAGGATGTACAGTGTTAAACTACTGCTGGACATTCCTGCCCCAGCCTGGCGTTGTTTCTTGTGACCTCATTGTGGTTTAGAAAGGCTGCTGTACCCTTGACCCCAGTGTAGAACTTAGATTCCTTGTGATGGGCTTTCCTGGCCAGAGCTGTGAGAGCTTGCTGGTACAGTCCCTAATGTGTCATTTCCAAACGCATTTAAACTGTGGGATGAGTATTCTGTAACCATGTTTCCAGCCTATACCGATGAGGCTGTATGTGTACTTGATGCTACCCCCCACTTAACACAAGGTACCGATAGATGCAGTATACAGCTTAGTCCAATGGTAATGGCCTCCAATCCTCACTTCCTCCTGCCAGAAGGAAGCAAAGTAGCTCCAGTCTGCTTTTTAGCACATAGTGGTGAGGTCATTGGTTATTAATATTTTTAAAAGCTTTACCCAAGGACACAACACCACTAAAACATATTATTAGTAACATACTGAATAATTTAAAACATGTCAATAAATCCTGCCAACGTAATGAGGAGAACCTTGAGGTGTTTCCTCTTGGAATATTTCTGACTTTTTATGTTTAAAGGGAAAATTTAAAAAGCGGGTAAGAATCACAAGCTGGTGACTTTTTTAACTGAGGCATGATTTTGAGCATCTTGTAAGCTTTCCTCTGTGTTTTGTGTCACTCAGCTCAACGGAGACTCTCAGGCAAAGATACAGCGGATCCTCCGGTTGATTTCCGGCGGGGGGTTGTCCATAACGGGATCACACATCCTGTGTGGAGACTTCCTCTTCAGCGGTCATACAGTTGTGCTGACGCTCACTTACTTGTTCATCAAAGAATGTAAGTCATTACTTCATCCCTCACTGAACTGACAGCCGTGGTGGGCGGGGTCCCAGGGCCCTGACTGAGGACGGGATCCCTTCTGCTGGGATGACAGTTGGGAGAGGGACAGATGTAAACACTGTGCACACACACACTTTATCATTCATTCCACCCACTCGTTTGTGACCTGAAGCCTCAAGGGTAAAAAGCCCTGGCTGTGGTTTCTTGTGGCATCTAGTATGTATGCCTCCAAATATCCCCTTCTTCCTTAATGCTTCGCAAGGCAGGAAGACAAGAGAGGTCAAGCATGAAGGTGCACACCTTCAATCCCAGAACTTGGGAGGCAGAGGCAGGTAGACGTTACATGCTCAAGGCCAGCTTGGTCTACATAGTGAGTTCTAGGCTAGCCAGAGCTATAAACTGAGACCCTGTCTCAAAAATTTTTTTTCAAAAGGGGAGGTGGAGTGAAAAACAAATGAAATGATAAATGTTTTGTAAAAAGACCAGTACACTCTTTTGGGGGGGTGGGGAGGGGGGGGTTTCGAGACAGTGTTTCCCTGTGGCTGTCCTGGAACTAGCTCTTGTAGATCAGGCTGGTCTCGAACTCACAGAGATCTGCCTGCCTCTGCCTCCCGAGTGCTGGGATTAAAGGCGTGCACCACCACCATCTGGCTAAGATCAGCACACTCTTAAGACAAAGCCAAATGACCTTTGACTTATTTGCCAGACACATCTGTCCTATGATTCCCAATAATTCACATGTATTTCCTCAATAATAATTCACATGTATTTCCTCAGTTTTATCTACATCCTTGTCCTATTTTATTTAATGTGCTTATTCATCATTTCCCAGCTGCTGTCTCTGCAGTGCTAGGGTATTTTGTGGAACATCTTGTCCTTACGAAACATACAGGCAAGGAATTGGAATCGCTTTCCATATCAATTCACTTAGTTCCTATTATGTAAAGCCCTTGTATTTTGTAGTAGCACGTTGTTTTAATGTTTCTAGTAGTTTGCTTTTTTGACTTGACTTGCTTTGCTTGCTTGAAATGAGGTCTTGCTATATACAGTACAAACTGGCCTGGAATGCACAGCCCTCCTGTATCCTGAGTGCTTTCCAGTGGCTCTTAATGTTCACTAAAGGGCTGTCACTGGCTCTCACTGCCTAGCAGGCCTCTTGGTGTTGCTTTCTGAGTGTTGCCCATTCCCTCCATTCTTTTGAATGGCAATGCTTCTTTCTCCACGTTTGCATCACTGTGGTGTGTTCCAAAATGTCCTGTGCCCAGTGTTTCCGGAAGCTTATCTCAGTTAAGTTTGCCTGGCATGGACAAAAGAGCTTTGGGCATTGTCTTAGTTACTTTTCTGTTGTTGTAAAGAGACACCATGACCAAAGTAATTTATAAAAGAAAGAGTTTAATTTAGAACTTGCTTATAGTTTCAGGGAGTGAGTAGAATCTTTAACCATCATGGTTGGGAGCATGGCAGCAGGCAGGTATGGCACTTGAGCAGTAGCTGAGAGCTTACATGTTTAAACAACAGCCATGAAGCAGAGAGAGAGACAGAGAGACAGAGAGAGACAGAGAGACAGAGACATGCACACACAGAAAGCGACACAGAGAGAGACACAGACAGGGGGGAGAGGAGAGAGAGAGAGAGAGAGAGAGAGAGAGAGAGAGAGAGAGAGAGTTCTAACTTGGAATGGGCTTTTGAAACCTCAAGAACCTGTCCGCAGTAGCATACCTCCTGCCAGAAGGCCACAGCCCCTAATCCTTCCCAAACAATTCCATCAGCTTTGTATCAAGCATTAAAACACGCGAGCCTGTGAGGGCCTTTCTGATTCAGGTTACCACCACAGGCACAGACCTGTATCCTGGGGGCTCCCTGTCTCTTGCTTTCCTCTCCTCTTTGGCCTTTCATCACTCCAAACAGGTTGAGCTGCATGTAGGCCTCTTAACATCTTTGTGTTACTAGCCCAGGGGCTTCTGCACCTATCCTGTATGGCCATGCACACCACATGTTGGGGAGCAGTATGCTACATCTCTCCACAAGTCCCAGGGAATCCTCACTTAATGGAATTGCCATGTTTCTAATACATAATGATTAGTTATAGCAGTGTGTTCTTTATGGTTCTAGTTCTAACTTTTGCCCAAGGGAGTTCCACCCATGGAGGGCCCATCATTTTCTAGTCCGGAGGTACACTCTCCAATCTGTGGATCATGGGATGCTTACAGAAGATGGGTGTTGCATGTGTGTTGAAAGTAAAGGCACTCTGTGTTGAAAAGCAAAGTAGTGAAAATAAAATGTCCTGGGAACTTAGTGTCAGTTTATTCAATATCTAAAGAGCAAGTGCTGTGACTATAAATAGTAATAGTTCTACGCCTACCACTAATCTGTGCCCTTGACACAAACTAACTTTGTAGTCTTTGCCACCTCTTCACTTTCCTCTACCTGTGTATACAGGAAGTGACCTGGCTATTATATACAACTCCAGTATTGGAGGATTAAGTGTTCAAACTCAATCTGACTCCAGAGATTGCGGTCTTAATTTCTTGGTTCTGTTTAGAAGTTTTAGAAATTTTTAAGCTGGGGCGATGGCTCAGACAGTAAATTGTTTGCTGTCACAAAACATGGGGACCTGAGGTTGGATCTCTACTGTTCCTGTCAAAAACCAGATGTAACAGCACATGCCTGTAATCCCAGCATTGGGAGTAAAGAGAGAGTGTGGAATGGGGGGGTGGGGGTGAGGCCTAGGGCTTGCTGGCAGCTAGTCTTGCTGGATCTGTGGACTTCAGGTTCAGTGAGAGACCCTATCTCAAACTCAAATTAAAGCAATGAGCAACTGAGGCAGACCCTTGACATTGACCTCTCCAGCCAGCTTATGCACACACACACACACACACACACACACACACACACACACACACACACACACACACACACGCACACACTCACGTGCTCACATGCACACGCACGCACGCACGCGCAACAAACACACAAAGAAGGAAGAAACAAAGAGAAGTCAATTCAAGTTGTCTGATCTTATGGGATTGTCTAAGAATAGTCTACTTAATGATAAATAAGGTATAGTTTTCATTCGTCTTTCCCTTCAGAGCAAGTAGAAAGGCAAGTTGTGATTACTTTATACGATAATGTAGAGACATATTTCTTCACGGTATGATTTTTTTAAGTTATATACATTTATATATGACATGGGAAGAATTATATTTTTCCAACAAATTTTGATGCAAAATTGATATAAATTTAGCTGCATCGCTGGTCCTCTGTGTGCAGGGCAGTGTGTGTTTGCACCTGTCTTGTGGTCACCGTCTGAGTCATACCTGCCTTGTTTCCCTGAGTAGGCAGTGTCTCCCATGGTTTGGAAAGTCGGCTTCTAGAAGATGTGCTGTTTATATGTGATTACTCTCCTGCCTTTTGATCATTCTGGGTTCTTTCTTTGCTAGCACTCTTGTTGAAAGTGGATTAAAATTCAGTTGGGAGAGCGTACCGGACCATTTCGTTAGTTAACATGAAAGGGTTTAATTGCACCAATATGCTCATGGAGCCTGGAGTCTTTCAAAACCGTGCCTGCAGAAAACAGCAGGCTCTTAATACTAAATGCCTGGCCTCATCTTCAATGGATTTTCTTAGTGCTTGCCACAAGCTCTTGTCTCTTATTTAATGCCACCTCTGCTGGAAGTCCCGCACAGGCTCTGAAGTCCTTTTGTTGTCATCTCTTCACTTGATAATATCCCTGTGGCTAGAATGAGTGAACAAACAGGATTCTCATTTGCCATTTTGGTTTCAGAATAGCTTCTACTAGCTGGCTTTGTGTGATCTTAGTAGTGAGGAGGCTGAAGCAGGAGGATTGTTGCTTTAAGGCTAACCTGGGTTACATATCGAGACTTTCTCAACAATAAATAGGAGCAAAAAAAAAAAAATCATCGTATTCTTGGTGCAGGGAGAGAGGAGAGTGGGTTGTGATCTCAGTGTAGTAGCATCATAGAAAATGCATTTTCATAGGGCACTCGAGGTTTCCCAAAATTCCTAAAAACCCTATTTTCAATGCCACCAGTAGGAAAATAGCCATTGTAGCCTTACCCATTTCGGCTTCTGGTGATTAATGATACAGAACAGTTCTAATGCCTCCAAACATTTTGAGCTGTTAATAAGTCCCTGATGACCTACGTACAGAAAAGTAGGTCAGATATGAAGCTTCAGGAGGGCTGGGGGGGGTGGAACTGGAGAATGCATTTGATGTCAGGGTTGCCTCATTGTTCAAGGTTCTGTTGCAGTAGTTACTGAACTACTGAACCCCCACCCCAGCCTCTCCTGGCATTTAAATTCTAGGATTCTGCAAGCTATCTTGGAGAATATAGCTGCACGATGAAGTAACTAAATGACAAGGAAGACACTGAAATGTGAATCAAATAGAGGGCTGTAGTTTCGATGAGTGCCACACTTCTCTCCCAGATGGTCAGTGGCATGAACTCCTCAGTAACCTCAGCCAGAGGCTAAATGTCGGTACACAGAGGGGCAAGAAGCCGGATCTTTCCACTGGAGAGCTGCACCATTGCTATTGGCAGTGGTAGTATAAAATTGCTGAGACTCAAATCGTGCTTGCCTCACAATGGCATTCCCCACCACAGATACACACCCGAAGCAATAAAAATAAACTTAAGACCTCAAAATATCCCCCTGCTTTCTCATTTTGCCCCCCTTATTTCCATAGACCTTTTCTTTAGGCCCTTATTGTTTCTCTTTCCAGTTGGGCCATGTATGTGAGCCAGCTTGAGCCAATTCTAGCCAACCTAAATAACAGCTCTATTCTCTTCCTTATTTAATAGATTGCTGAAGACAGGCAAGGCCTAGAATATCTCTTGTTACCCATCAACCTCCTAAAAATGACTGCCATACCTGCTAATGGGATCCCCTCTGCCCTCACTCTATCTGGGCAACGGAGGCAGGCAACTCATTGCCATAGTAGTCTTAATTGTCCTGCCTGGAGTTACTGGGACAATATTAACATGTAGCTCTGTGGGGGCACAGTTCCTTGGCATGCATAAGACCCTGCGTTTCAGCCCCAGCCAGTCAGTCAGTCCGTCCGTGAGTCCATCTCTGGGAATCTTACTGCCTCTGTTTTCCCGCTGTCCAGATTCACCGCGTCACTTCTGGTGGTACCATCTGGTCTGCTGGCTGCTGAGTGCCGCCGGGATCATCTGCATTCTCGTGGCGCATGAACACTACACCGTCGATGTGATCATTGCTTACTATATCACAACACGGCTGTTTTGGTGGTACCATTCCATGGCCAATGAAAAGGTGAGAGCAGTGAAGTTCATTATGTGCCGGGGACCCATTTCCAAATACGGAGGTTTTAGATCGCTTCGTGTTGTCGCCACCCAGCTATATAGGGTTTGGTCAGTTCAGCTAACAGTGACAACAAAAGAACCTCACAAATACACAGGCTACCTGAGAATGGAGGACACTGTAAAATTATTGACAGCGTGTCTGCCAACTCAGCTGATTTATGCTAGAACTGCAGAACTATATTCGTCAACTGAAAACCTAGGGACCTTCTCTGTAGAGCATTATGGAGCATCTTGGTGAGAGAGGTTGCTTGTCTTGTTGATTATACTTGGGGTGATCAGCACGTCTGTCTTCCCTTCTTCCTGTTCCAGGGTGACCCCCATTCTTCTCCCATTCATTCTTCTAGTGCTTGCTCAAATTCCACCCTCTTACCGCCCAGGCTTTTCAAATAGCCTTGGTATTGCTCTTGCTGTAATTCAGTTGGTCTGTGTACCATGACTGACTTATGTTGGAATAGATTACCCACTGTTGGTGGTGGTGGTGGTGGTAGTGTGCTGTGCTGTCTGTGTATGGTGTGTATGTGTATAAAATCTACAAGCAATTGACTACTCAGAGCCTTTGGATCTACTCAGAGTTCTTGTGTCCACCAATAATTGCTTTCTATGGATCCCTTTATTTGGCCCTGCTGCTTGGTCGCCAACTCCGTAGTCCTCTGCTTTCATTTCCCTTCTCCCGTGTCAATCTAGATGCTTTCAAACACCTAAACCAGAATCTCCATCTTTCTCTCGAATATGTTCAGCCTTCCAAGTTCTCCTTCCACTCCTCCTTGGCCGTTATATCTGACCACAACACATCCTGAAAATGCTTCTCTTGAACGCCCTTTACATCTATTCCTGAGCCTCCTCCTTAGGGAACTGCAAGCAGAGGTCTCATGAGCCACAGAGGGCAGGACAGGGAGACCAAGGACAAAGCAGAGCTGGGGCAAAGGCAGGACAGCAGTTAGTGCCATGGGATTTCACTTCTGCTCACCTGCTAAGTCACAAAATAAACAAACAAACAAATGTCGTTTAATTGAGAGGTCTAGACTGCAAGTCATAAACAATTGCTCATTTTTCTTTCCCACCCTTAACAGAACTTGAAGGTCTCTTCCCAGACAAATTTCTTATCTCGGGCTTGGTGGTTCCCCATCTTCTATTTTTTTGAGAAAAACGTACAAGGCTCAATTCCTTGCTGCTTCTCCTGGCCACTGTCCTGGCCCCCTGGCTGCTTCAAGTCATCATGCAAAAAGTATTCCCGGGTCCAGAAGATCGGGGAGGATAATGAGAAGTCTACGTGAGCTGCCAACCTGGCAGCAGCCTTTCCACCAAAAGAGTCCGTGCTGTAACCAAAGGCGCAGCTTCCTATTTATTCTCAGAGAACTGACTGGTAAATGAAGCGGACCAAATTTTGTGCAAAAGATGGGAGCAACGAATGAAGTATTACCTTTGGCTTTTTTTTTTCTTTTTTATTCAGCCCAAGAAACGTATATTTTCCTGCAGCTCTTCATCCAAGGGTGACAAAGCCCCCAAAGTGGGATTTTAAAGAGATGGCAAAAAACACGCTATGCCTCTCCTGTTCTTTCTCCATTTCCACATTCTTTCCAGATTTTTTTTCCCTTCCAAGGTCAGAAGAGTTTGCTAATGTTTTGAATAAAATGTCTGGATATATAAAGCCACCGTGTGAATACAGGCAATGATGGTGGGAGCAGGGTTCCACCAAGCAGCTCACTGAGGGCAAGCCACAGGTGGATTAAGGTCAAACGCACTTTGTTTTTGCCCTTTGTTAAGGTTAGGGTGCTGTCTGGGATTCACTTTGCTGCTACCCCGCCCCCCAGTGCACTATGTATGACTTTTCCTCTTTCTTTAAACCTCTACCTGATAATTTTACAAAGGAGTGGTCCAAGGAAACGTGAGTGTGACACACCCATGGATTTTTCCTTTGTGTGTGGATTTTTCACTTTCAAGTCTCTCTGACACATCCACAGGAAGCATGGGGCTTTTCCTGCTATACACATTAGATGCTGCCTGCCTGGAGCTCAGGGCTGTCCCATGTGAAGTGATGCTCACTCTCACTGGGGAACACATGTGTGCTCCCCTTCTAGCTTGGACCCGCTGTGATGTGTTTCTGATTGGAACCTAGAGAAATGTTTGGTCACATTCTATTAAAACAGTTTCTTCTTAGTTAATAGTGTGCACTGCAGGAAATGCAAACTGGATCCCGAAGGTTTACTGTTTCCTTGCTTTGTAGCAAGGTACTTCTCTCCCTAAGTGCTCCTAAGGACATAACACCACCCCTGAGCAATTTGACTTTCACCCTGAGAACAGAACACACGGTGCTGCACTTAAACATGCTGTTGGCATCCACACTTGAGATTACTACAGCTACATAGCAACAGGGAGCCAAGCATGGGGGTGCACGCCTTTAGTCCCAGCACTCAGGAGGCAGTTCGAGGCCAGCTGGTCTATAAAGAGAGTTCCAGGACAGCCAAGGCTGTTACACAGAGAAACCCTGTCTCAAAACAAACAAACAAACAACACCCAACCATCACCACGGGGGTGGGGGTGGGGCCCACAGGGGACACCTGTGTCTGATAGGAATGGATTTTAAAATCTGGTGGGTTTAAGAATATCTGATGTAGTGTGTTACTCAGGGCATAATCCTTGCCTTGACTCTTTAACTACTGGAAGATTAGCTAACAGTAGAAAATGTTCTCCTTTACACACTTGTCAGCATGGGAGCAGAGGGAGGTGAGACAAGCAGGGTGGAAGGAGACGGTCACATTGGCAGTGACAAGGTGGGATGGAGAACATCCCCAGGTGGATCCTTGTAAGCCAGTCAGCCTTGATGTCTCAGAATTAAACTTTAAATGGCTTGGGGAAAAAGCACAATACAGGTCTATTCAGAAGGGCCGTTGTCCTCTGGTGCTAAAATTCTGTGTGTGTGTCCAGTGTCTCCTTTTCTGTGATACTGGGTAGGTAAAGGAAAGGGCTCTGGATTCAAAGGCCAGAGAGTAAGGTTCTCAAGTCTGGCTGTCTTTGCCAGAGTGGGAACCCTAAACATCTTTGGCAGACCTGGAAATGCAAGGTTTTTTTTCAAGTATTTTTATTGAATAAACAAGTAATAAATACATACCCAGTTTACCTTCCACTACCCACAATTCTGTAGAATTTTCACATGCTCATTTCCTCAACTCTGACCCTTCTGTTTTAGAACCAAGTGTTTTGCTTGGAAACACTAATTTAACTTGTGTCTGACTGTGAGATTCATTTGGCGCTGAAGCCCCTGTTTGGGTCTGCGAGTCTCTCATTGAAACAAAACAGCCTCGAGCCTTATCCAGCTGTGGCTAGGATTTCCCGTGTTTCTTCAATTAAGGAAATACTTAAGCATCATTACATTGCCTGTTGATTGTTGGGAACCCTTGAAACCGCTAACCTTGCATTTTAGTCAGGTGTTCCGGGCTATAAAAAACAATACCATCCCTTCCTAAAGGACTGAAAACACCCGTGAGTCTCGTGTAGACACCACTGTTCCCATGTTCTCTGTGTATTTACTGCAGCTCTTATGAGGAAGCATGTGGCTTGACAATAATTTTCAAGATGTGAAAGGTGACCAAAACTCATGCCAGTGTAGGAAAGGAAATTGGAGACTTTGCATGCCACTTGGGATATAAAATGCAGACAATTAATGATGTTGCCTTTGAAACAGTAATTTTAGTTTTGAGATGGTCCCATCTCACTGTGTAGCAGATTGACTTCCAATTTTTCAATCCTCCTGCCTCAGCCTCCAGTGTGCTGGGATTGCAAGTCTGAGCTCCCATGCGCCCCGCCTCCCCCACAAAAACATTGAATTATTGCAGCACCTTTTCTTTGCAGTTCAGATGCAGGTCTTAGCCACTACCTGTGTTTTTGTGAGCCCGTGCTTGGCTTTCCTGTAACTTCTGGGAAACACCTGTAATATATAGCACACATGCAACTTGCCACATGTTTTTCCTGAAGCTCCCCAATGGAAATGGAGATCTCTCAAACTTGAGAAGCTGAGCTCCTCCACTAGATCTGAAAAAGGAAGCATCCTTCCCCCCCAGTTCCTTCTGAGCTAATTGTGACTGTCCTTTGAGTTACTGGCAACTCAGGAAGCAGGGTTGACTGTAGACAGACTGGCTGAGAGTCAACTCCTGAAATCTCTGGGCAGGTCTGTGGCCATGGATTCTTTACTGTGTTACTACTGCCACCTTGTGGCAATGCCATGTCTGGAATGCAAATGCTACTTTAGAAAAATATTTTCAGGTTTCTCCAAAGTTTGTTTTGTTGATGTTTGTTGCTCATTTTTCTTAACCCCCCCCTCCCCAAAAAAATCCCTGAAGTTCTCACGGGAAAGAGTTATTTTAAAGACATTCTAAGGTCTTCCCAAAGGGAAAGTGCTCAGAATCCGATCAAAGAAAAATTGCAGGTCATTTTTACCTCCTATATCACAATCATTAGTGTCTAGTCCATAACTACCAGGCTTTGTTTACTTCAAAACCCAAAGTCAACTGTCCTTTATTTATGTTCTAGAAGTCATCATTTCATTTTAAATTAAAAGTTCATGTCTTGCTCCATAAATATTTTAAACTTTTTGTTAGTGTTTTGGTTTTGTATTATAAAAGTGATTAAAAAATTTTAAGCTGGTCTTAACACACTCACCCCTGTAGTGTAAGGAAGTGTGAGAAGGAGTCTTTTAATAAATGAGTTTACATATCTTAATCAAGTATATGCATTGTGTTGGAGCCATTTCTATGTCTATGTGTAAAGATTTCTTATATTATTGTTTTTAATGCCAGTGTGTCATAATAATTTAGCCCCTTTGACTCATTTGACAAAATGCATTTTATGAAGAAGTGCTCTTGACTTCGATATTCATATATTGAAACTCATGTCAGAGGTACCCAAAGATAAGTTTTTATACAGATAGGCGCCTCATAAGTGCTGGTTTATTACTCGTTAATATTACTGTACTGTGTTCTTAATGAATCATGAATGGCAAAGGTGGGTCACCGTAGAATTATTTTAAACTATCCTTTAAAGAAAGAGAAGAAACTATAAGCTAATCTAGTTGCCAAGTTGGAGTTCATTATTTAATTTACCTCCTATGCAATGATTAATGCTGCGAAATGAATGGTTAATAAGCTACAGTATGTTCAAACAAGAACTTTCTTCATAGGGTTTGAGAGGCAGCCAGTTGCATTCTTTTGGAAATTTACTATACTGTTTCGATGTGTTAAGTGCCTTGTTGTAAAGTAAAATTTTAAGTCTAGAATTCATTATTTTCCTGACCTATATTTTTCATTATGATTATCTACGTGTGCTGTTGTAATCATTTTATTAAATGCTTACATTTTAATCAAATATGAATTTCAGTCTCTTCTATCCACTACTACCTTTTACATTTTAAAAAATTACTTGTGCCTGTGTGTGTGTGTGTGTGTGTGTGTGTGTGTGTGTGTGTGTGTGTGTAGGTCAGAGGACAACTCTGTGGAGTCAGTTCTGTCCTGCCACCTCTCTGTGGATTTTTAGGATCAAACCCAAGTCCCCAGGCTTGCACAACAAGCACCTTTACCCCCTTGACCCATCTCATGGCATCTTAGTCACTGATCTATCAGATGGGATTTAAGTTGAAGTTCTGTTTTCATTGTCAGTTTATTTTAAGAGAACTCTTCCTTTGTTTGGAAATATACTTTATTTTTGTTTCTGCTCGTAAGAGGATATTTCTGACCTACAGATGCCTAAAGCTGTATTTGCCTAATACATCACAGTGATATCGACAACCTCTCAAAATGCAAACCAGCATCCCTTTCCATTCAGAAGACTTGCTCTTCAGTTTTTAGAGCACGTATTAAAAGCACAAAGGGTTATTTTCTTCAAATGCTATTTTTAAAATTAGTTACTTTTTTTTTAATTAGTTACTTTCTGTGAGGTGGAGAGCAGCCTGGTTTACAAGAGCTAGTTTCAGAACAGCCTCCAAAGCCACAGAGAAACCCTGTCTCAAAAAACCAAAAAAATAAAATAAAATAAATATTAGTTACTTAAAGGACCTGTAAGTCTAAAGTGTATTATTTTTCCTAAACATAATGATTTTTTTTTAAAAAATTAACTTCCTTTAATGTGCACTGATGTTTTGCCTGCATGTATGTGTGAGGATGTCAGATCCCCTGGAACTGGAGTTACAGATAGTTGTGAGCCGTCATGTGGATGCTGGGAATTGAATCTGGGTCCTCCAGAAAAACAGTCAGTGCTCTTAACAGCTGAGCTTCCAGCCATCTCTCTAGCTCCTCCTACCCATGGATTTAAGGTTTAAAAAAATAGTTATACATACTCTAAGATTCACAGAAACAAACTCTCTGATCACCAAAGACAAGGTGGGTCTTTTCTGTCCCCAGTTCTGAAGAAAATGTCATAGCGGGGGTCCCCAGGGTAATGATCTCAACTGGACTACCTAGTCATTTCCAGGGCCGGTTTCAGGAGGTTATTTTTGGACTCCCTGATGAAGATGAGAGCACAGTTAGTAAAAGCAATCCAATGGAACGAGGTGGGGCTAGGTAAGATGGTAAGGCTCGGAGACTGAGTTGGGTGTAGTGCAGGCTTTATCCCTGGGCTGTCTGGAAGTGATGACAGAGCAGAGGTCCACGGAGGTGTTGTGCCACATCTGCAAGGATGGCTGGAAAGCTCATCCCAGTGGTGGCCGTCCTGTTGGGAACACTGGCAAGATGCTGTGCCAGGCTCAGTCTCTGCTTACCTAGAATGTGATGTGAATTTTCGTCTGCTGGACTGCCTGAAGCAGGAGGTCCCACTCATGGGCTGATTGGTTCTTTTGTTTTCTTTGTAGGAAGCTCCTGGTGAGCTTCCTGTGGGAGCACTTCCTGTGGGAGCACTTCCTGTGGGAGCATCATGGATTTTCCAGCACTTTCAGAAGTTCTGATGGAAGTGGGCTGTTCTGGACCCACAGTTCTCTTCTTAAGCTGCCTCTGCTAAGGACCAAAAGGCAGTTCACTGTCAGAACTGTATGCAAGGTTCCTGAGCACTTAAAATGAAAATGGGGAGACCACCCGGAGAATGCCACATCACAATCTTGTCGTCCCCCCCTCCCCCCGCATGCCCTCTACTTGAGGTGAGTGCGGGGCCCTGCTCAGGCCCAACTCCCTTCATCATCTCCTTGGACCTTCCTGGGTCCTCTTGAGGTGGTCCCACCCCAACAGGGCAGACCATCAGGAGCCTACCATCATCACAGTCTTGGGCCCGCTACTCACTCTGCTTGAGTGGACCCACCCCAGCACACTGAACAATCCAGAGTTTGCCCTCATCACAGTCTTGGCCACCCTCTGCTTGATAACTCCAAGAAAGCTTGGGCCATCCAGAGTTTCTGACATCGAAGTCTTGACTTACCTACACCCACCAGAAGAGAAGAGGAGAGGAGAGGAGAGGAGAGGAGAGGAGAGGAGAGGAGAGGAGAGGAGAGAGAGAGACCCCACCTGCACCCACTGGGAGAAGGGATGGGAAGATGACAGAATAAGAACACACTCAACAACAGAAAGACCAAAATGGCACCACCAGAGTCTAGGGACTCCACATCAGCAAGACCTGAACATCCCAGCACAGATGAAACAGAAGAGAAGGACCTTAAAAACAATTTTATGAAGATGATAGAGACCCTAAAAGAGGAAATGAGAAAAAAAAACCTTAAAGAAATGAAAGAAAAAATACAAAGGCATCCACATTCGTAAAAGAAACATTAAAGCTCAAATCACACATAGTACCTCACACACTTATAGTGGGAAACTTCAACACCCTACTCTTACCACTAGACAGGACCACCAGACAGAAAATTAACAAAGAAACAAAGGAACTAACAGAAGTTTTGACTCAATTGGGTTTAACAGACATCTATAAAACATCCCATCCATACACAAAAGAATATACCTTCGTCGCAGCGCCACATGGAACCTTCTCTAAAATCGACCACATACTCTGCAATATAGCAAACCTCAACAGGTACAAAAAAAATGGAATAACCCCTGTATCTTATCAGACCACCATGCTTTAAAGTTAGAATTCATGGAACTCGGTAGATGATCTCCATTCTCCTAAGCTCACGGTGTAGCTTCTGAGTGTTCATACAGTGCCTTGTTCATGCAGCTAGAAGAGTTCTATGATGAGAGCAGCATGCAGAACAGCTTGATTGTATTCCAGCAAGCAAGCAGTGACACGAGAGAGTTTGTTATGTTCATAGCAATTGAGCCCTTTTGAAGTCTGAGGAAAATTCTGCACTTAGTTTACCTAAAATACAACACAAATTGCAGGAAGGAACAATGTGCAATTGCACCATTCTTGGGTCGAGGAAGAAATAAAAAAAGAATTCAATAAGAATGAAGACACAACATACCCAAACTTATGAGACAGTTTGAAAGCAGTGATAAGAAGAAAGTTCATAGCTCTAAGTGCCCACATGAAGAAACTGGACAATAGTCACACTAGAGAATCCACAGCATAACTGAAAGCGCTAGATCAACAAAAAAAGCAAACTCAACCCAGAGGAAATAATCAAATTGAGGGCTGAAATCAATCAAGTAAAAACAAAGAAAACAATACAAAGAATCAATGAAAGAGTTGGTTTTTCTAGAAAATCAACAAGATAGACAAACCTTTATCCAAACTAACCAAAAGACAGAGAGAGAATGCAGATTAACAAAATCAGAAATGAAAAGGGGGATATAACAACAGACACTGAGGAAATCCAGAGAATCATCAGGTCATACTTTGAAAACCTGTACTCCACAAAATTTGAAAATTTAAAGGAAATGGACAATTTTCTGGATACATATCACTTACCAAATTTAAATCAAGAGCAGATAAACAATTTAAATAGACCTATAACCCCTAACGAAACAATCACAGTTATCAAAAGTCTCCCAACCGAAAAAGCCCAGGGCCAGATGGTTTCAGTGCAGAATTCTACCAGAAATTCAAAGAAGAGCTAACACCAATACTCCTCAAAGTGTTCCCCACAATAGAAGCAGAAGGGTCATTGCCAACCTCTTTACGGGGCTACAATTACCTTGGTATCCAAGACACACAAAGACACATCTAAGAAAGAGAACTACAGACCAATCTCCCTCATGAACATTGATGCAAAAATACTCAATAACATACTGGCAAATCGAATGCAAGAACACATCAGAAAAATCATCTACCATGACCAAGTAGGCTTCATATGTACTTAAGCCTAAAATACATATTTCAGAATGATTGTGTTTACTGCACACATTTGAAAATACCCAATTAGATTCGGAACAAAAGTGCAAATGATCCTAGGAGTTCTGACCATTTTGAAATACAGTGATTTGGAAACAGTACCAGTCTTTGGTTGGCCCTTTGTATGTACAAACTTTAGAGGTAATATGAAGAAAATATGAGCTTTCTTTTTTTGTCTTAGTGATTCTATGTATTAAACTTACAGAATCAAACATACAACACATACACACCCCAACTGAGCTTCAACATCCAAAGCATGCAGGAATGGTTCAACATACAAAAACCCATCAATGTAATCCACCATATAAACAAACTCGGAAAGAAAAACCACGCGATCATCTCACTAGATGCTGAAAAAGCCTTTGACAAAATCCAGCACCCCTTCATGATAAATGTCTTAGACAGATTAGAGATAACAGGAACATACTTAAACATAATAAAAAGCAATATACAGCAAACATCAAACTAAATGGAGAGAAACTCAATGCGATTCCCCTAAAATCAGGAACAAGACAAGGCTCTCCACTCTCTCCATATCTCTTGAATATTGTCCTTGAAGTTCTAGATTGCGCAATATGACAACTAAGGGAGACGAAGGGGATACAAATTGGAAAGGAAGAAGAGATCAATACCAGACTCTCAATGATCTCCAAAAATTATTAGAGATTTCTCAACTACAGACCATTATTGGAGTAGAAGGGCATGATTTGAAAAACTTGAAAATGATCCTAAAAGGGGACAAGGACTTAAATAGTCCATGAACATTATCAGCTGAAGCTGAAAAGGAATTAGAATGGGTAGAAAAGAGAATACTAGAAGCACACATGGACCGTGCAGATCCAAAACGAGACTGTATTCTAGTTATATTACCATCCAGAGAATTCCTTTCAGAGATTTTGGTGCTGAGGGAGGATATCATATTGGAATGGATATTTCTACCACTTAAACAGAATAAAAAACTAAAGACATATATAGAAAAGATTTCTGATGTGATTTTAATAGGTAAATTAAGACATGGGGGAGGGGAGGGAGGGAGGAAAAAGAGAAGGGGGAAAAGGAGGAGGGAGGAGAACAAGATGGATCAGGAAGACTGAATCTGG